ACACTGAAGGGCACAAGGCAGGGAACAACCCAGGATAGGGCACAAATCCACTGCAGGGCACAAGGCAGGGAACAACCCAGGATAGGGCACAAATCCACTGCAGGGCACAAGGCAGGGAACAACCCAGGATAGGGCACAAATAAACTACAGGGCACAGTCATACTCTGCACCATTCACTAAAGAGGAACCAAGGCCTCAACCTGTCACTGGAATGTGATGTAAGCATGTAATTACACGTCATCTGATTGTGCCTTTTGTACATTAGTCCTACTTTTCTTGCTTGATTTGCTGCACCCTATTAAATTTTCCCTGCATTTTTTACAGAGGGATCCTCAATGTAAACTAAAGCACCAAAGTTCTTTTAACTTTTCTTAATGTTCTTCCATTTTTACATTTTTTCCTTAGTTTTTTTTTCAATTTTTAGTGTTGTTTTGTGTATTAGCAGGCCGATGTGTATTATTAATGTAACTGATTTATAATAAATTATTTAATACTTTGCAGACTGACACTATTTGTGGCTACTTTCAAGCCATTAACTCAGTGAATTTATTACACTTGCTCTTTCAAGTTTGTAACACATCTAATGTATTATAAAACAATGTTTTTGTTATATATCCTTAAACTGATAATCTATTGGGTGTTGCCACAAGTAGAAAGTGTGTTATTTTTTCTTTCACACATCAGGACATTTTGGAAATTTTTCTTGAGTTGTAACTGACAAACACTTGGAATGAACATATTGGTGACACATCTTGAGTGGTTTCTAGGCTGAAGATAGTGTTTGTGTTATTAGACTAAAATTAGGTTTTATCATGGTTTCATTCATTAAATTAGTTTCTGAACAAATGTTTATTCTACTAAACATTATTAAACTAAAAAAATGTGAATCAGCCAGGATCAGTAAAAACTGGCAATTGGGATCAGCCAAGGAAAATGCAATGGGTGTATCCATAAGTACTACCTCTGTACACGTAACTCCGTACGTGATGAAACTGCTAGAGCGCTTGGACTCAGCTGCTCTTCCAGGAACAATTCCTAAACACATGATAGTGTGACCTGAACTCCCAGGTCTTCACTTGATTGACTTCTCAAACACAAACCACTGCAGACAAGAACATCTATTTTATTTCCATGTTTGACTGGAACAGCTAACGCGAAAGTTTTAAAATGTTTTATTCCAAAAGCAAAAATGAAAGAACCAACAAAGACCAATATAAAAGCACAAAACTACAAATCATTTGTTGAAGTGCAATCTTGAAAAAAAATTGTGTGCAACACTCCTCAACTTGGCTTCCAAAACTGCAAATTAAGATTTTCAAATGCTCAAAAAAATGTACCTAATGTTTGAAGGGAGAGGTGCACAGTACACTAACTGCTTCCAAACAAGCACAATTGCTGAGAGAAAAGAAGTGCGTGCCAAGTGAAAGAAGTGCGTGAGAGAAGGGTGTCCACATGGAGCATGTCTGACATGGAGCTAAAGACCATTAGAAAGCTGCAGACTGGAAGGCTGAAGACCTTTAGGAATGAATGACATTGGCAGGTACTCAGCTCTCTGTAAAACGGGGTATAAATTGAAAGCTCTGCCTTTTGCTGCATTTAATTAATTGTGCTGAGCATCACTTGTGGACAGCATCATTGGTTCTGGGCATTAACTCTTAACAGAATGAGCTACAGGATTCCACCAGTGTCATCGACATCTTACTGAGCTTCTCTATCCAAAGTGATTAAGCATGTCACACAGTTGGATATTTTACTGTACATCTTAGGAACCAACCTCAGGAGGTCCTTCTAGGATTTATGATGACAAACTTCGAATCAGAAGCCCGTAGGCACAACCCATGAGCTGTTCTTCCCATTTAGTTAGGGTCTCTGCCTTGGACTAAGACAGCATGGGAGCAGAGGTTGAATGAAACATAAAGGATGAGTATAATCTTATGCTATAACAAAGTAGCGTACTGCGATTCTGAGCAACCACATATCTGGTCTTGGCTTGCATAGCCGAGCAGGCATAGAGATTAGGCAGGGCACCCTATAGGCAGTCCAACACACATGAATTACTCCACCCTGCAGGAAACTTTGAAGCAGCAGCTCACCTAAACAGACCCATGTGAGAGCCAGGAAGGTGTGTGCAGAGCCGGGGCTCACTGGATGTTTGCCAGTGGCACCTGCCGAGTGTAATGACAGTACGTCACCTACCACCCACCCGACTGCTAAACATTTCCCGTGTGACATGTATCCTTGCTACAGGCTGCAGTCTGATTTCAGCAGGGCTCAGGATTCATCGTCAGCTGGCTCTTAACCTCGACTTCGGGGAAGTTCACACGACAGGTCACTCGATTTGAAAATGGAGGAAACAAAGCTTTTGCTGTCATAAGAAAGGAATGTGACAAGCCTTAGGTGTGAGGAAGACAGAGGAATGCTGCAGAAAAACAGCCAGAGAAAGAATACAGCTGGTCTTGTCGTGTTCCCTGTGGTCCAGAAAGGGCAATAATGTTCTAGCTCACTGACCATATGGCAGTGGCCTTCAGATCCTGAGACACCAGGCTTTTTTTCACAAGCCTGGCCAAAATGACACATTAAGTCAACACTTGTGATCTCACCAGAGACATTCAAGGAACGCGGTATGCAAAGTAGTCTCTCGAATGACACTGGAAGGGGCAGACGGGCTGGTAGTGTGCGGGTGGGTGCAGCGTTCTGAGTGGGTATTGAAACACAAGCCAAGTGCATGAAAACAGCATGATGCAGCTTGCAGAGAGAGGGGAGAGGATGCTCAGTCATCGCGACAGTCCTGGAGCCAATACCACCACAGCAGATGGCAATTCCTGCAGGTCGTCCCTTCTCCCTTCCCACAATTCTCAGCCCCTTTCCCATAATTCTCAAGTTTCTTCTCACCACGTACAATCGGCTGCCATTTTCCCACAATATCATGCCAGGTTTTCTGCCCTCAATGAGTTTCTGCCCATTTGAACAGGGAGGACACACAAAAATAGACAGGATTAGTGCCTTGTCCAGTGAACGTAAGCCCAATGAGCAGCCTTTGCCGATCTTACGAAATGATCAGAGGGTTCGGAGTGCATTTGGAGAATTAGAGGAGGAAATAAAACACTCACACCTTCAGGAGCAAGCCAAAAAGCTGTTAGCTTACAGAATGCCCATCAGATACATCTAGGTTCAGTCATGGCGTGGGGTCAGCCAGGTCAGAATCGCTTACTTCATCCACACCTGAGCAGAACACTTTTCTAGATACTGCTGCAGCACTGGTGTGGTGCCATAATAATTTACTTTTACTGTTCCAAAAGGTAGATTACTTACATTATTTGACTTCTAGGACATTTTTATACAAAAGCAATTACAATAAACATTACTGACCATGTACACTGGTACACAATTTACTAGAAATCTTAGTTAATTAAATAGGTTTAAGTGGTCTAAGAGCAACAAAGGTAGCAACCCTTCATTCAGTTCTCCAACATCTTCCTGTTATTTTTCTACAGATTCTTAAGCATGTTCCCTCCACCGTCCCAACACAAAATAGTCAGGAGGAAAAGGGACTTGACAAATCCATGACTCATATTTACTGAGAACACCAAAAACTCTGTCTTCCTGTCTGTATGAAGATATGTTTCTTTGGTATCTTGCTGTTATAGAAATGTCGACGCTGCATAGTTCATGCCGTTGTCCCATGAAACAAAAGCAGAAGCTAATTTAATATAGATACCCCGTTCTACTAAAACCAAGGCAAAACATAATCTGCCCTTTCAGAGTGGAATGCATTTTTTATCCACCAGTGTGGTTTACTGCTTGCATGAACTGCACAGACGTGTAGGAGAGGTTGTGGTTACCCACTTAAATTCATTAAAAACTATGAAAAAAGCACACGGATGCACTGCTTAGGAAGTCATGTCATTATCTTCACACACACACACATGCATGCGCACACACACACAACGAAGATGCCTGTTACCTTTACGATCCCTACAATGAAGGCAATGAAGTAGTTCGCAGTTGACCGGGTGACTGACGTGCTCACCGAATGGCTACCTAAGTCGCCTCCTAGCTCTTTTAGGAAAGAGCACCACCCTTCACTTGTCATTGGCTGGCAGCTAAATACGGCCAATAGTATCACATTAGACCATTGGCCAGAGATGCCAGACACCTACAGGATTCGTTCTACAGCTACACTCCAACAAATGTATTACATGCATATATTCACACCAAGAGAGATGCGCGCCATCCTATAGCTAGCCACCAACCCACCCACACATGCACATGCTCATACGTATCACAAACTTTTGATTCCTTCTTGAAAATTTGCTGCATATTGCCTAGTGACAGGTAGCCTGTTGTCAAATCAAATTTGACATTATCATTGACAGTCACCCATAAACTAATGCACTACTGCACAAATACAGATTCTTTGTGACTGAAGAGTTCATGTCACCTGATACTACCCACAATGCATTACTTCACAGTATAGTGAACCTCTCAGGTTCCCACATCCCTCCTATAAACGGCACCAAATGCTTTTTGCGCCACTTGGTTACCAAAACAATTTGTGTCACTGACCTTGGATAATGGTTTATTGTGTTCCAGCCTCCCACACCAGAGCAACCCTGTTGCAGTCAACACATCCGTTTATGTGGGCCATTAAAGCCATTAAAACCTCATGTTCACCATCCTTTACGAATGAGACGAAGACAGTACTGACTCTACATGATAGCATCATGCGTAGAGACACAAATGAGAAGGATAAAATCCTTCTGAATTTCGCCATTCCTACCGGTGCATCAAATCCAGGGAAATTCAGGAGACCATAGACATTGTTTAAGACATGAAATTGGCTACCCAAGGGTCTAAGATATTCCCTTCCTACTCTGTTCTTTCTGATCATTTCCCCAACATTCATATTTGTTTTTTAGAGGCAGGCATCTACAGCTAACTTCAGACATTAATCATGACTTTGCTCCACCCACCCCTTGGTAACGGGCGTGTCCTCTTACCTCAACCAAGTGAGGTGTGGGGTTGAAGCCACACATGTTACAAACTCGGGTGTGGCACTGTGTGCAGGTACTGTAGTTGGGCGGCTCCGAAAACTTGCTGACATTCAGCTCCGCTTTGCACAGAGGACAGTTTGGTTCGAGCTTCCCCAGCTCCTTTGGACGCTGGGCTGGCTGCTGCTGAGGGGGTGCATGAAGGCCCGGGGCAGGGGCAGGCCCAGAAGCAGGTCCAGAAACAGGCCCCTGGCGTGTCTTGGTGGGGGCTGGCGGAGGTTGCGAGGGCAGCAGAGGATCAACAGACATCAGAGTGCTGGCCTGGCTAAGGATGGATGCTCCAAAGCCAAACAGCTTGTCTAATGGCTGCTCCTGAGACTGCCTGGAGGGGGAGCTACCGGCACTCCGCGTATGATCCTGTTGGCCAGACTGGTTGGTGGATGAACGGGACAGGTCAGGTTGGGATGGAGCCTTAGCCAGACCCCCCAGCTGCTTGGATTGGGGGGTTGTCATATCCATTCCCAGGGCCCTCTGCATCTGACAGTTCAGGCATAGCCACTCCTGGACCTGCCGGGAAAATCAGATGGAGATATAGTGTCACCAAATTGCAACATCCATTTATCTTACATACAACCACTTATATTTCCAAGAAGAGTGCAGCAGTATCATTCTCGCTTGGTGTTTCTGCAGCTTGCCTTCTAGAAATGCTGCATCCTGGCTCTGCTCCACAAACTCAAAGCATCCATTTTGGCTAAATAACCTGGATAGCAAGGATAAAATAACCTGTTTGCTGCAATTCGATGGGCAGCCCTTAGCTCTCCATATTCCACATTATTGCCCCATGTATCAAAATATATGTTTAGACTACCTCCTACAAGGTTGCCTTCTTTGTTTGGTCCTGCCATGCCTCAGTTGTGCATTTCACGCTTCTTCATGGAGCGAAAGCTTCACTGAAAGGCAGATTTTTTCAGACAGTGCCAAATGTATAGACATATTCTTGAGCTGCCATGACATCATTGAATAACCCTAAGAGTTCCATCATTCAACTATGAAGGCCCTGGATATACACTACTGCTTTTAAGATGGAGGTGGTTTTTGCTGACAGTTTAGCCAACAATATATCAAGGGTTTGTCTGGAAAAAGCCAGCCCAATCACTTACATTTCTATGCACTCAATCATCAAATCCTTCATTCGACATGAACGGACAAGTGCACACAGTAAAACAGAGCTTAATAGTGATACTAGTTATCAGCCATTCATACAAGCATAAGTAGAAGTACAAAGGAGCTCTTTGGTTGCTGCACATCCCTTCTAGATCTCCATGAGACATACACATATAACAGTGATAGTAAAGCTTGGGGTCTGAGAACAGGGCTGGCCATTTGTCCAGCACCTCTGGAGTTTTCAGGGTTAATGGTTTTGGTCAGGGGCCTAGCTGCAATTTGATTACTCTGCCAGCCAAAGGATTCAAACCAGTGACCAGACATGGGCAAATTTTTCTACCTCCTTGAGGTCCACATTAGTCCAAGCACTGAAGCACAAACATTTAGCATGCAAGAATTTAGGCCAGGTGCTACACATGATCAAGAGAAATTTACCAAAACAACAAGAATTTCAAGGTTATTTTCTCAAATTACGGCATTCTACAAGGGACCTTAGTCACCTAATGAGTTGACTTGGTGCCTTGATTCTGCAAAGCATGCTCTGCACGGGTTCCTTTGGTGATTTCACACTGGGCCCTCCCTTAAATGAGTAATCCTGCTGAGCTTCTTGCTCACTAGCAATGTACAGGGGTGATGCACAGGACAGTGAAGACACATCCAAAAAAGGATTAATTCACCTAACAAATCATGATAATAATGAACAGAAGCACTGGCAAGCAGATGTGTCAGTCAGGAAAGCCCATGTATCAGTAACTCAGTAAGTCAACGAGTCAGTGTATCACTGTGTCAATGAGCGAGTTTGTCTGCATGTGTGCAAATCCACGCGTCAGTGAGTCAGTACGGCAGTCAGTTGGCCAAAGAGTATGTCTGACTTTTATTTCATCTGTGAGTCAGAGTGAGAGCTGCTCGGCATGCTTCCAAGTCACCATGTAAGCACCTGGATCGCAGGATGGATGTTCAGTGCTCTGAAACGCTGGAATAATTGATGGAAAGCACTTGCACTCCAGACCACAAAGATAACCAGCAGTTCAGCCAGTAAAAGAAAGACTTTATTAAGTGCTTCATTATTTTGTCCCTTTTCATGGAAACCACCAATAGGCTAGTAATTACCACCCCTCTTTCCCTTCAAATTTGAATCCCCATTCATTCGCCTGTTTGTTGGACAAATGTGAGATGCATATGCTGATGTACACACACCAAACAGCCCAAACATTACAACTACCTGCCTGATGAGCCGCCTTGACCGCTTCATCATGTTCTGCACACTGTTTCTGAACAGTTTGTCCAGTGTGGCATTGCACATTATCCCCTTGACTGTGATCTGGGTATACCACCATGAACAGGTGTACATGGTATACAATGATGTTGTGATAGGTGTCATGCATCAACACCCTCCACATGAATGGTCAGACCCAGTGTTTCCTAGCATCACACTCTCCCCACCAGCAAACAGGCAAACCAAAAAAGTCCTATAGCACTTTGAAAGACACCCAAATTGCTTTACAGAACCAATGGCAAGCCACTTCAACCACCACCACTGTGTAGCACTCATCTGGATGATGCAATGGCAGCCATTCTGCACCAGTACACTCACCACAAAGTAACTATGGTGGTGAAGGGGCATGAGAGAATTCACCAGTTAGATATAGGCCATGATTAGGAGGCCAGATTTGAAAGGGCTACAGTGGGCAATTTATCCAGGGCATCGGGGTACCACCCCTATTCTTTCGAACCTCAGTTTTACATCTCATCTGAAGGACGGCACCATTTTTACAGCACAGTGTTTCAGGTACCAGCAACCTTCCGGCATACATATTACAGGCATACAGGTGTAGCCCACTGAGCCACACGCTGCCACAGAGCACAAGATGGTCAAACCTGTTGGCCACACCAACACCTCATGACCAGGGGACCTTCTTCCACTCATCCAAGGTCGAGTCCTGCTGATTGTGTGTCCACTGCATGCACTTTTGCTACTGCAGAGGGCTAAGCATGGGCACTCTGTCCAGTCTGCAGATACCCAGGCCCATACGCAGCAGGGTGCAATGCAATGTGTGTTGTTACACAGTCATTTTGTGTGCAGCATTAAATTTTTTTCAGTTACCTTCCTGTTGCTCCATATGAGACAGGACCCCTTACCGGGAACACCCCACAAGCCTTACCATTTCAGTGATGCTCTGGCCCAGTCGTCTGACCATGTCAATTTTTCCATGGTCAAAGTCACTCAGATCTTTACACATTTCTACTGCATCAAGCACGTCACTTACGAAACCCAGGCGTTCACTTGCCATTCAATATATCCTAGATCCCAATCAGCACAGGTAATCAGCTTTATCCACATTGTCAATGAGTGGTCATAAAGTTTAAGCTCTTCTGTGGGCACACATTTAAAGCCTATGTACTAAGAATGGGTTATCATTAAAGTTCATGTGTGTGTAAAGGCAGGTGTCCCAATACTTTTGGCCATATAAAACTAAAGAAAAGACAGCTGCAAAACGACTTTGAACCAGAAAGAGAACCACAATTACAGATTAATTATCATATTCAATCAGGGAGTTCTTTTTCCCAATTGAAATTAAATAAGAACAATAGTACATAATGAGATTAGGCTTACTAGTGGAAACTATATTACATCAAACAACAACTCTATCTCCTTCATGACTCCTCCATGTGCTTATCCAATATGGACGAAAATGAATCTATTTATGCTATAAACAGAAATGGTACAGGGATACAAAATAATACAAAACTGTCACAATTTTTTGTAAAATCTCCAAAAATGAATTATTCTGTTGGTGTTGTTACTGTCGCAGTACTGCAGGTTTTCCTCAACTGCAGAATAATCTTTCATCCTCTTTCATGGGTTGTACTGGGGCAACTTCCTCTGAAACTTTTCAGTTGAGGCCATTATAAATCTCTCACCCACATATTACGCTTTAATGCATCCTAACAAGGAATGACTAACTTTTATCTCTGATGAACGTTAGATGTAAAACTTCACACAGTTTACTGTGCATGCATGCTTCCACAGTTAAGCACATTATATTTCCTGATCCTTGCTGGTGAAGGTCTATATGTTATGATGCCTTACAGGAAAGGGGGCATGTATGTTCTTCCGACCAAGGCTGATGGACTGTGAGAAGGGGTTCAGTGTTATGTCATGTTGGAGCCAGTGCAGTGTGAGATTGTAAGAATTTGAATGCTTCCCACTGTTAACAAGTGGGTTAATAAGGGCTGGTGACACCACATCATGCATAAGGAGGAGTGTCATTACCTCTTCTCACATTTGGGGCGAGATGAGGAATCATCCTTCTAAATAACCCTTCCTTCCATCATCCCATCTCAAACTTCCTCAGGAGAAGCTCAGAAGAGTATAAGGTTGTGGTTTCAATGGATATTTATTTATCTTTCAGGACATTACGATTAGACATGGCATCGATCCGCTATTTTCCATCAGAGATAGGTCTAGCCTAAATTTTTTTTTAAATTCTTGTGGCCTTAGTATGATATATCATAAACAGAAGTGAGGGTCACATGATGGCTAATTATTCAGTAACGCATGTGGGTCCATGCTGTAATACCGGATGAATGAAAATATGATTCATGCATTTGACATTCGTGCTTTTGGTTATCCACAAATTGGCTGTGGACAATTAAACGGGAATATTTTTGGAGCTTGCTAAAAGACCTCATAAACTCTCAGACAATGCGTAAGACAAAAACAGTACTGAAAATCATTTGCACCACATAAAATCATATAATATATAAATATTAGTAATAGTTCATATTTGTTAGTGTAAGGACTATATCTTTAATGTAAGAAGTCTTGGTTTGGGTACGCCACGCATCTTCGTCTCAGCAATCAGTTTCACCCATGTTTTATCTGTCTTTGTGACCGTGGAATCTTACATTGCAGTAACTTGTAAACTTGTCAGTGCCATTAGTTTTGCATTTTTAATAATGAGTCCAAAACGTTTTGCTCCCAGTGCATGCAGTAGTAACTTTGTATATACAAAGGCATAATTTAAATGGTGAGTATATAAGGTCTTAATAGGAAATGACAAAATAATTTGACATGCAAGTATACAGTACAGAACTGTTTGTTTAGATATTGGCAATAAACAGACATTTTATGTTATTGTTCAGGCAAGCAGACTATTATGGGGTGCCTATTATTTGCAAATTTTCACAGCTGCAGGGACCTTCTGCCCCTAACCCTCGCAAATGTGAAGAGGTAACTGTACGTTACACCGAAGGAAGAAAAAAGTAAAACTGCAGAGTCCAGTGTTTGTAAGACTACTGTCTGAACACAGTAACATTTACACAAACTAGATGTCGTCAGAATTGTATTCTTTCTAAAATGTGGTTAACTACTACTTAAAAGTTTTATATGTGCTCCATTG